AAAGTGGTTCTACAGGCTATTGAATCATAAGGTGTACTTAATTTTTCACACATGGCTTCTCCATTTTGGCTTTCTTTTTGTAAAATAAAGGATGGTGTAATATGTCATACGTTTTTGTTCATCTGAGGTTATATTTACCTACTTCTGAGAACTGCTGAGGACCAGATGATTTGTATTATGTCCTGATACGTAAAACCATAGACCTCCAAGAGGATGTACTTTCTTTTTTCACATGACTCACGTGTGTGTGTGTGTGTGTGTGTGTATTATTTATTTGTTGGATTTCTCCCCTGCCCATCCCCCCCACAATAGGGGACTCTGGGTGACTTACAAAAAACATAATTCCTGTTTATACCATGATGCAGCTGCATTACATTCACCCATTTCATTTTTTCCTATTGCATTTCAAGCCCCACGAAGATTAATTTTTATGTCCAAACTGAAATAGAGGAAGTCTTGAATTTCACTTAGAACAGTACCTATTGGGCAAAGAACACTAACCTCTCAAGGCAACTGATCCAAGAAACTTTTAAGGAAGGAGTAAATTTGTGCTTAACGAGACTTGGCAAAATAATCTGTATACACATAAAAGTCTCATGATAATTCTTAAATTGAATAATAGAGGAGATGCCCAAACTTTCAGGATTATTATAGTTAGAGTAGCTTTTCAAATGCAAAGAAAACACAGTTTAGAAACAGCCACCGAGGAATATGGAAGCAAACAAAAATGGCAAAATTCTGCAGAATCAATGGATGAGAGCAAGTTCAAGAAAGAGAAGAATTACAATTGCTGGGGAATTCATCCCGTTGGTTAAGATTCTGTATCTGAATAACTCTCCCCCACTACTGTTTCATGACAACTTTTCCTATCCTACTTAAGTGGCCTTAAGCAAAAAGGGGAAGGAAAGAGAAGAAGAGGATGGTCAGCAGCAAAGTGGATAGACTCAGTTACAGTGGCAATGAATGCACTATTGGAAATGCTGAAGGGTCAGGTTAGGGATAGATCATCATGGAGAAAAACTATGTATGTGGTCGCTAAGAATTGACAATGACTTGATGGCAGGTAATCATCATCAAATAAGGAGAAGACCAAATAAATCCCAGCTGCTTCTTATTCTGGCTATAAGAAAGCAAAAGATAGAAAAACTATAACAGCAAGAACTAAATTTGAAAACCATTTATTTAGGAACCAATCTATGAAATAAACAAACACCTAAACAAAAGATAGACAGTATGTTTGTTCATTGCAGTGTTAGCTCTGGTAGAATAAATACTGAAAGTAAACCAAAAAATTCAGGAGCATCCACACTGTGAATTGTTTCCTCATACCTTCTATAGTGTACATAATACACACTGAGGGTTATTGTTATGCTTTATTTCTCAATATTAGCCAAAGCAATAAAATTATGAATACTCTACAGAGAAAAACCACCAGAACTTAGTACATGTCCATTAAAAACAGATTTAATTTAAAAATGATTTGCCATGAGATGTTTTGTCTGGATCATCCTAAAGCATAGGAGTGGATTCTAATAATATCTACAGACAGACCAATTTCTAATGAATCTTGAGCTCCAATACAGTGATTTCCAAGCTTATAGAAGAGTGTTCATTAACATGCAAAGCAGCTCTTTATATGTATCCCTCGTTATATGTACAGATTCATCTGCTAATGAAATTCATGTACAGAGAAACCCAACAGTGTGTTATACCACACTGAAACTTTTCACTGTGGTGATGTATAACTTTCATCTAATAAAGATATTTTTAAATTATCCATCAAAACAATCTTTAAAAATTACACAATAAATTATGTATTCTTTCCATTCTAAAAGGCTCCTTGTAACATATGACATGTAATTTTTAAACAAGGGAATTACTAACTACCAAGTTTTATATCTTTAAGTACATATTAGCATTTATTTAATTTTACCTGATAATTATCTAGATTCTTTCCTTCAAAATATACTTTTGTTGGGACCTCCACTGGCATTATTTCAGGACTGGGATTTAGAAAGTGTGGACATTCTTCTTCCTAGAAGATAAAGATTTCATACATACATATTAAGACAGAAATTCTGAATAACAAAAAATCAGAATATGCTTTGAATCATGGGGATTTTAAAAACAGGTCAATATCTTTTTGTTCTGAAGCATCACCAAACTCTGACTTTGGCCCTCCGCAATGTTATTAGACAGGTTTCATAATGTAGCTGTTTTGCAGCATTTATACCCCTGCTGTATTGCCTGATATACTATTGATTTATTAGCTGATTGCTATCCCAACATTACCTGCAAAACTGCTAAATTTTATTCCTGTTTATGTGCCATTCACTGCTCACTGGACTGTGAAATATTACCATTGAGTTTTTTTAATATAGTTCTGTACAGTACTTATATTTTATTTGAGTTTTAAGCTGGGTTGTTGACCATACTAAGCATTATCTCATTTTATCTTAACCATGTTCAGCCTCCCTAAGTCTTTTAATAAGATTTCATCCATTTTAGAACATTCACCATATTCTGTTTAATCACATCTTGCTCTAGAGAAGCATCTTCACAAACATGATTCTTCCAGTCCCACTGGCAATTCCATCTACTGCTTGCACAGGAATAGCACCTACATGAATAAATGAGAAATGCTTTTAGTTTGATGCTCGTAGGATTCTTTCTAATAATAACTTACAATTTCATTTTGTATATTAATAAATATCCAAGGGCTTGCAAAGACAAAAAGGTCCTTTGGAGGGTTAGAGGGTGCTCATTTATCACCTATATGCTCTCTTTAAACCAGCTGTTTCTTTCATCAGGATCATTCTGCAGCTGAAATAGGATCTTAGGAAAAGACTATCTGATTTATGGAGTTGAAAACAGGAGCACTACAGACATCCCCATACGCTCCAAAGCATGCTTTGCCTTACATCCCAAAGCCATAATGGACAGTTGATACAACAGTTCAACAAGGATGTCTCCCCAAACTTCCAGATACATAGATAAATGCTTTGACATAAGGACTTAAAAAACAGCTAATGAAGCCACAAAGGTTCAAAATTCAGAAATCTTGCTGCTGTGGCATATGAGACATTATTGAAACACAGTTGGCTACCCCTGCAGCCTTTCCACCAGGACAAAGGACTCAAGGGCTGGAACGATGGTTTGTTACCATGACAGGCAATCATGATATTAGAAATCAAGTGTTGTATCAGGCTATTGGACTTATCAAGGACTTCCAAGCTTTGTCTTCACCAACTGTTACTTAACACATCAAGATAATTATTTATATCTTTCCCAACTACTTAACTGACAAAGCAAAGGAGAGAACTTAGGTTGATCTTAGATGCCTGAGTAGTGAAGGTCAGATACGGTGGGCCAAAAATGCTTCAAGGAAAGCAAGTGAAATGGGATCTTTTCCCCCACCATGTAAAAACTCTTCCTTTTACTCAAGATATAGAAAATCTGAGCTGTAGGAAAAGTCAAGGTATAGTTTGCATCAGCTTTGCTGATACTCCATATGAAGGTCTTCTTCTTTGAACAACCTGACTGCAAAATCAAAGGCATTAATTATTATAATATTTGAGTGCAAATGGCATGGGAATGGGAGGTATAATGAAGTTAAGTAGCTAAATACTTACGGCTCATTTTCAATACGATTTATAGCTTCTTCACAGTCATAAAAAGGGTATGTACCCGATGCAAAAAATATATTATCTCCAAAGGTCAGATTTAGCAGAACCAGGACAGAGTCTACCAAAAAATATTAAAGATAAATTTGAAGATGTTTTACAATTTATATAACTTGGTTCAATTTAATGTCCATTCCAATAATATAGCCTACTGAAGCATTTATTGAACTCGTGAGGTTAGAGCATGAATCTTCATCTCATTCTGAATAGCACATAAAATTAAACCTGATGATAATAGTATGTTAAAATATTTTACAGTCCCAGGCTTTAACAGTGTACAAATGCCTCTTTGAAAGGGATAAATATCCTATTATTGAAAAATGCAGTCAGATAAAAAGCAAAAGCAGAAACACCACACATAGGAAGTAAAATGCATGAATAAATCTATTAATGAAAGAATCTTTGTTTTTAGATTCTTAATGATGTTAATGCTTCAAAAATGATTAGGGAGAAGTATTTTGAACCTTGTGTGAGTACAGCATCTCTTTGCTCTTTATTAAAGTAGCCCAACTTTTTTCAGACTTCTATACAAGTCTGCAAAAATGATGATTTAAGTTAATGTGACTTTTAAAGCAGCAGCTTCTTTTCGTCAAGTTTGTGTGGAAGCCTAAAGAAATTCAGGATGCTTGTAATGAATAGCAAAGGTGCTGTGCTCATACTCAGACTTCTGAGTAATTTCTAAAGAGGGTACCCTCCTATTATTTTTAATAAGATATTTGGATACAAAAATAAATGCATTCATACACACAAACATTGTATGTGGAAAGTATATGTTGTTTACACCATTTATAAATAAAACTGATGCTTCTCAATAGCAAATATATTTTGAAAATAATAATTTAAGTCTAGCACTTTGGAAAGACAGTATATTGCACATATTCCTCTATTAATACATTTCTAATCTGAATTATTACAATATTAAGAATGAAGATCTATAGAAATTGGGGCTTCCTCAATGAGACTCCTAGCTATTCCTCTTATGGAAATCATTAAATCCTCTGACAAGCTATTTCACAAGCTATTGAGCAACTTCAAACTCTGCTTTCCTCTAACAGCTTTTGGAAAGTGTGGTGACAGCTTAGATTTAAGCTCACTTCATGAAAAATTACAGTGAAATTTTTAGGATGTTTTTCACTTTAGGCCATTCTTTCAGAGGTCAACTGGAAACTGAATATATTTTTAAAGGTGTCAGTTAATTCAGAGTTGTCTCTTTCACAACAAATTTATTATATGGCATAGTTCATTTGCATTGATCAAAACTTCTTAGGAGAAATGGATGTGATTGGAAGCATTTTTTACATTCCCCAGGAAACCACTAATTCTCATATGCAACAATCTGCAAGAAATGGCATCATATAAGAAGGCATGCTCTATTAACTTGCTAGAAAAAATGCACAAACAGAAATTATCTTACGTTCAATAATTATGAAGCAGCCACTACTTGACCTACCAAGTACAGTCTAAAGTGAAAAATAACCTAAAATGCATTTTTCTTTGGGACAAATAGTGTAAGGGACTTATTTTATCTTGGAAGTTGTGATGGACGTTTATATATCATTCTACCACAGCATGTAGGTCAACTATTAACTCTGGCTTTATCAATCAGTGTTCTTAGCATGTGATGTGGCATTGAAGGCAACTTTTTTAACCTGCTGTCCTGGAGAGGTACTGGAATGCAAATTTGAGAAGACAAGACAGTATAGTCTTTGTCTTTACTGTCTGCTAATTTATTTACTACATTTATAACCTGCCCCAGTCAACTAGGATTCTGGGCAGCAGACAACACAATCAGCATACCCAGAAACAAAATAAGAAGTTCAACCAAATAAAAATAAAATGTAAATATAACAGAATGACCAGGGCAAAGTAGGGGCTGAATGCCCACTGCAATAACTCAGTTTGAACTTGCCTCCTAAATACAAGGATGGAAGGGGCCATCCTCACTTCTGGAGGTGGGTTATTTCAAAGAATAGGTGCCACCACTGTGAAGGCCTATCATCTGATCAACAGCCTATGAACCTCATGGACTGGGATGGGGGAGGCTCAACAGGTCCTCTCTGCAAGTTTGTATTGGCTGGGCAGATTCTAACTTGACAAGGCATTGCCTGGTATAACCCAATGCTTTAAAAGTGGCGAATAGCATTTTGAATTGGGCCCAGAAGTCAGCCAGCTGTATTTCTACTCTGACAGGTTGTTCCCATCAGGAGCCTTGTCACTGCATTTTGAACCAGATATGGTTTATAAGTCATCTCCAAAGGTAGCCTGACATATAGAGTATTACAGTAATCTGACTATGTGGTGATCAGAACAAGAGTCACCATTGCCAGGGCATCCTGTTCAAGGTAAGGGACACAACCAGTGCAGCAACTGAAGCTGAACAAATGTCCTCCTGGCCAGGGCTTCCACCTGCTACCTCAACAGGAGCCATGAGTCCAGAAGGATCCTCAGATTATGCACCATCTCCTTTGGGAAGAGCACTATCCTATCAAGAATAACTACTGGTATTGATATTAAAGAAATGCCCTGATGTTTACTGGCAATGAATAGCTCAGTTGTGGAAGGCTTTAGTTCAATTGTAATTGGACTAAATCACCTAGGATTCTGCCTATTTAGCAGTTCATCCATATCCTTCACTTTTTAGAACACTAAATATATGTGTAAGTGAGGCAAATGTCCCTGGTATACATGAAACAGAATTAACAGAGAAGTTGCTATTAATGTTTTCCAGAAGGAAACTGTAAATGATACCAGTCTTAGGCCAATGCAAAGAAAAGTGAAAAAACAAAACAAAACAACCCCCCCCCCCAAACCCACAGCATTTGTAGCTTCCAAGTGGCTGCTAAAATAATAGCTTCAAACTTTTGACATGGATATGGAAATTGACCATGAGGCTCTGCTGTATCTTTACCTTGTCCTTTGGTTTTTGGAGGAATTTCATTTGGAGGTTGGCAAATAACAGCATCACCTTCTTTTTCTGCCTGTTGCCTCATTTCACCAAACTGACACCAAAGCTGGTCATCTTCATTTAAGTCCGGCAAAGGGCTTATAGTCAATTCTACCTGGAATCATAAGAAGGAACAATACTTAGGAACAACAGAAGCGATGAAGAACCATAGCAGTAAATCCTAGTACAAAAATAAACCACAATTGATCAATGCACAAGTTTAATGTAACAATAGTGGCATTTTAATGGATAACTAACTGTAGCCCTGTTAATTTTGGGAAGCAGCCACATTTTTCTATGCAGAAGGTTAAAGATTCAATACTTGGCACTGAACAAATTTTGAAAAGTTTGTGGCAAAGATCTCAGTAGAAGATCTTTGCTAGTTAAAGTAAATAGTAATTGTTTAGATCATGGATAGGCAATTATGGTTCTCTTGATGTTAATGGATTCCAGCTACTGTCACACAGACCAATGGACGTTAGGAATGCATCCAGTAACTTTCTATACCAACCATCTGATACTGTCTAAGGCATCTTCATATATTTGGTTAACTATTTCCAAAGACAGTACCTCAGCAAGGACTAATAAAATGACTTTCAACTGACACTTTAAACCATTTCTAGGAGCTTGATACACTGATAAATTTTGTGCTTATTATACTGAAACCTCCTTCCTAATTTTAAGAATAATATTTTTTTGATGATGGTTTTATGGAAACCAAACCAAACAATGAATAGATTAGATTTCATCCATCCTCTCTTCTGTTGTCATATTTCCATAATATACTTAAATGTAGTTTGATAAATCTTAGAAACTGCCTTATTCCTGTTGTAAAAGGAAAAACAGGGCAGAATATAATCTGAGTCAGTTTGTATGAATTCTCATTTTTTCTTTTTTTAACTTCTAGATAGAATTCTCTGTGTAACTTTGCAAAGGTGAATTTTCCCCTACAAACGTGCCCTGAATATTTTTGAAATAAGACACAATCCATTGTTTTCATACTTTTAAGTCTCCGCAGAATACAACAAGCCTTTTGTTGAATTCTCACTTCACCCCAAATGTAGCATCTATTCAACACAGAAGTTGTTTCAACTTTTCCAGCACAATTAAAGCACACTATCCACAGAACAGCACAAGCCAGAACACACAGCAGGAGTTGCAAGTCAGGCTGGAAATAATCAAGGCACTTATTCTGGAAGGACAACAAAGGCAAGCTTCCCACCAAATGGAACTGAAACAACATTTTGTTTGCTAAAGGACAAAAATGAGAAGTTTCCTGACAAAGTGGGATGCCTGGTAGCTTCACGAGCATTGCAAGATGAGATGCTGCCAACTGAGCACCCCAGTCTTTAATTATTCCTATAACTTAAAGAAACAAGCATCCCAGAAAAAAGGTGAGAAAAAGTGGAGTGGGTTAAAAAGTTCACTGATTTGATTAGTTGCTTAAGAACACCGTTGACATTCTCCCCACCTCTTCAGACTTCACAGTTCCACTCTGCCTGCCATCACCTTCAACTACTATGTGTCTTAAGTAATTGCATGGCCTACTTTCCCAAGTGAGAGAATTTTGCCTTTAGGAATGAGACGATTCCATTTTTCCAGAAAAATGAACCACAGGAATGGGTGAACGTAATTATACAGCCAGGGAATGAGCAAGAAAGTGAAAAGATGCTATCCTTTTGTACTAAAATTAATCACAACCTAATATTGTTCCTGTTCATGGTAGGTCTTTTTTTTTTTTTTTGTTCAACTATAATACTTCTGTCTCGAAAAGGAATGGGGACATCCTATCTGTCTAAGCAAACTAAATTCATGATTCAAGAGTTTTCTGTCTTTAGAGTAATGATAATCTCAGCAAGATGCTTTGATGGCCAAAACAGCTAAGTCTTCAGTTGTTAACTCACCGCAACATGCTTATGGGTCTTTCTTAATAGTGAAGGACTGCAAACATTAATTCACCATTTGAACAACTGAATTATCTAACAGGAAATCTCTCTCTTTCTGTTCTTCATTCTGTGGAAAATGCATAGTTACTAAAGATATGTCTGTCCCAGATGTTTCTATCTCCTGAGTGTTCTAGAAATAGCCTGTAAATCTAATTCTAAATTATATCTAAGTAGGGATCCGCTTCAATATTTAATTCTGGGTGGTTCATTTCAAAATTTTAAGTTTACAGGTTTGTTCTCATAATAGCTGAGGTTGGTCATAATATTTTTGACTTGTTTAGCTATGATTTAAGCTCTGACTGGAAGGTTAGCCTGCAAACCAATCTGGCATGCCTCCTTCCTCAGACATTAAGGCATAAAAACCAGGGAAGCCAGAGGAGATGATCAAACTCAGTTTGCTTACATGTTTTATTACACTGGAGCCAAATCTGTGTCTAGACAGGCATTATGAAAATCCTGTATTCTCAAAGCTTGGAATCCTTAAGTCAATCTACCTCTATGCCTCTCACTACCCAAAAATATAGCTCTGTACATGTCTGTTTAAACAGAAAACTTCTAGGGTATAAGTAAATTTCACATTTTTTAAATCCAGATGTTTTGAAGAGAAAAAAAGAACAGCAAGATTTTGTATAAAAATAACTTTGTCTCAGAAATAAGTACAAAAAGCATTAAATAAGTATTGAAAAGAATAACAGTAGTTAAAATAATCTAAATGAATTCTAAGTATAACTATGCAACACGTGCACACAATTATTCTCCACCCACTGAAATATTTACATAATTTTTTCCCCATGTTCATGATGAATTTATTACGCATTTACCTTGCTGAGAACTTTCCGGCTCATATTCTGAGGGTTAGCGCTTGTAATACTCAAACAAACGCCATTAGGACTCCATAGCCAATTATTTTCCCTAGCTGATCTTACACAGTCCTTTTTCCTTGTGCATCTGGAATAAATAATAAAGCCTAATGTTATCCAAAGTAATTAAAAATTTTAACTCAACACTCAGTCAAAATGAAATGACATTCAAACCTATGCAAATTGACAAATGACAGATGGCACACATTAAATGTTTAATATTTCATTTTTCTTTCTTTCAGTTTACTTATTGTTCTTTGCGACAAGATAATTACCCATGAGCATTTTAAAATGACAACAGTAAATGTACAAATAATTATCTTAAATACAATTTACTGTACAGTACTAGAAAATCTAATCTAATATTCAAGAAACATATAATGGAAAAGTAGCGTTAGCGGTTAAGAAGCTAAACTGCTTATGAAGTATATAAATCTGGACTGTTTTGATTATTCCTTAGCACATTTCAAATTTGTCATCAGTTCTTTATTTTTAGCCTGAGGCTTTGCTCCGCGGGCTCTTACTGTGCCAGAGAAAAAAGCAAACATTTCTGGCTTTGGAACTGGTTATTTTTCATTGCTGGAGGGAATATGAATTTAACAAAGTTCTTGAGATATGATCTACTTTTAGGTTTTGTCAATAATTTTAAGGAATAGAATAGCAGCGAGAGCTCCAAACAGAGCTGAATGCAGGAGAATACAACTAAATCTACTGCGGACTCCGGGTGGCTAAATACTTAACTGGCACACACTCATGAAATGTAAATAAAAATAAAAATACAATGAAACAAGCATATGCACTGTACAGGAATAGATTCCATTAATACAAACGTTTTGAGCTGGACGGCCAACCAGCAGCAGTGGCAGACCTAAATTTCATAGATAGACACAGGGAATCTAGGCAACCGAAAATATTATGCAAGATTATAAGGACCCAACTAGTAATCAGCCTCAATCACACTGAATGGCACACTTGGCAAGAATTTCTTTTCTTTCTGTAGTTCAGCACGAGTGATCCTGAAATCCACCTCTCCTGAATTGCATGTTCTAGTTTAATTGTCTTCAGTCTTTTTCTAACATATTTATTATCCTCCATCCCTCATGCATCTGACTATGAATGTGAAGCATTTCATCCTTAATACAGGATCTCAACTGTAGCCTTTTAATTATGTATCAAAGTACAATAGAAACTGAGCTATCTTACTCTGAACACCTCTGCACAAACAGAGTCATGGGGCCCTTTAAAAAACCCCAGATTTATTGGAAGAAAATATTCCTGGACTGCAGAAAACTTTATCAGGTACATACCTTTGGAAAAAGCTAAAGCTTTTAAGTTCAGTAATGTCTACCCAGACTGATAGTGGCTTTCTAGAGCTTCCTCCAAGATTTTCTGCCAATCCTATGTGGGGATAGGGCCTTCTCTCTTCACTGGATAAATTAAGTTTTAATGGTTTTAATTGGTTTTTAATGGTTTTCATTTTGGTTGTTTATTTGTAACTATCTATTGTTTTCTGTTTTTAAGTGTGTGAGCTGCCCAGAGTCACATATGAGATGCATGGTTATATACATTGAATGAATAAATGAATAATTTAATAATTTGAATCATCCTGCTAAGTGGTAGGAAACTGACACATGTAAACTGGTAATATGTAAATAGGGCACTAAAATAAAATGTTGGCAGTATACAATGTCAATTTCCTTACAATTAGGTCATTATCACTATTGATACTTTTAAGAGTAATGGGTATATACCACATGTTGTGTTGCACCACAGTGCTACTGCGAAGAGCAATGCATCTCCAGCAAATGAAATCCCCAACAAGCAGGGCTCTAGCGGGGATGAGCAGGTAAGGAAATTTGTAATGTGCCACAATATTCCTCAATATATTTTTTTTTTAAAAAGGTAAGCATATCTCCATTCAGCTTTCTTTATTTCACATTTAACTATTAACATTTGCATCTTATGCTTTTTCCAATGGTCAAGCGTATGGTTGCATTAATTTTTTCCCCTTTATAACTGGCCTTTGCTTTGAGATGGATTTTTTCCTTCATTTTAGGTTTATCAAGTGAACTTCATAACTGCTTAAGAATCTGAATCTGGGTATCCTGGTCCTAGTCCAAGATTCTAATTATAGCATGGCCAATTATGAGGAGTGCTGGCAGTTACAGTTCAATGGCACCTGGAATGCTACCGGTTTTCCACATAGTGTATTAACTACACCATCTTAGCCAATATAATATAATCGAATGCTACAAGAAATAAGCAGTATGTTCAGTGTGCTCTGGTTTAGGGTTCTAATTCCCAGTGCATTCTTGAAATATCCCTGAGCAAACTATGTTGCTACTGGATTGTTCTGATGTGGTTTCTTCTTAATTTTATCCCATGAAGTTTACTATACTTTTTTAAACCTTTAAGTTTCTTCAAGACTGGTGATACCTCTCTCTTTGATGGATTGTTGTTGCTGTTAATATTATTCCTACAGAAGGAGTGACATTCACAGATTTGACTTCAGTATTCCCACATGTATCAAACCATACATTTCCCTGCACAGATCTTTGATTCTTCAAAATAATGAGAGCAAAAGTCATCATGAGACACCAAAAGAAAAGCTATTTTTCCACCAAATGTGACCATGCCTTCATAGTTCAAAAGTAATTAATATCTTATTCATATTTCATGATTTGAAGGGAATAAATATTTCAGACTCTGCATGCACTAGCTTTGCACTACAGTAAGCTTTCTGGTAATTTTACTGAAGTCTTCTAAATATTTAGAGAAGAAGCAAGATCCCTGAAACCCAGCTCCTTCCTATAATTAAACAAACTGTGTGCCAGCTTTATGAACTTCATATCACAAAATCCCGTTCGGTTCTGCCATGGGGTTAATTAACTTGTAAATTTGAAGCAGGGTTTAGACCCATACCTCCTTCTGTAACTTATTAAAAATAAGCCTAGAGACATTCAAAAAGTTTGGTTCAGCAAATTTTAAGCATACTTTGAAATATAATTTAATTACTATGCTTGATCTTCAGTCAACTGATAAATGGATTGTTCAGTAATTGGCAGAATTAGTAGTAGTATTAGTAACAGTAATAATATGGAATAATGTTTTCCCCCTCAAAATTGCTATGTAAAAGCTTGCAAAGTTCATCTGATTGACTCGAAATATGGAAATGTAACAAGTTGAGAAACAATAAAAAGCCAAGCATTTGCAAACAATACAAGTACACTGTAAATAATAATAAAAGGGGGAAAAGATAAAGACTGGAAAGGTAATGTATAAAAAAGGAAAACTTATTCCAACTGGAAATAAAACCTTGTTTAAAGGTTTCCTGAAAACTCTCCACTCACATTTGTAAATTAAAATAAGTTTTCTTTTACACATAACCTACATATATAAAACAATTTGAGACCAGCTATATTTTTATGTTTGTCACAACATCTACTGAGATTTATCATTTGTGATATTCTGAGAGCCTCTCTCTGAAATAGCTCTTTGGTATTATGGCACAGGTTTTTCAAGAAGTAGAATTTAATCCTGTGCATCTCCAATTAGTCTAGAAAAGACCTGTCTGAAATAATGGAGATTGTGTAGACAATACTGATCTGGTAGAATTTACCATTTGATGATATAAAGCAGATTCCTATAGTTTGAAAGAAGCTCCAGTAGTTCAACACATTTTAATTGTGTTTTATGTAATGTACTCTTTGTGTTGCACAAACTTAAACAACATAAATGGTCCTGAATTCCCAGTGGACAGAGATACCATTCTTAGATATAAATCTAAGAAATCATAACTATGAAACCAAAACCAATGAGCTAAGGATATGTTTTCTAAGAAAAGCACAAAATTAGTCAATTTATAATTCTGGTAAATTACCAACTAGTTTCTAGTTATTTCAACATGTGCTTGAAATCACTGTGGTTCTGTCTGTGCTTAAATGGACAAAGAAGAAAACAAGAATTCTGTTGTTGTCGTTTTTAACTCAGTTTCACAGTGAATATGCTTCAGGGGAATCAGAATTCTAATTTTGAGAACTGGAAATTGTCACCACTAAGGAACTGCAGAGTGTAAAGGATTTGAAAAACTGGCACCCACCACATCACAGACATAATCCTGGATAAGTCTTTGTCATAGCATTCTGAACATTACAAATTCTAGTCTATCCTTCAGTAGCAAAAAAATAAAAAAATAAAAAAAATGCTTTGTTACCTTCAAACATGAAAAACCTTACACATAGAAATACAAATATAGACAAAAGAAAGCAAAATTTGGCATGGCTTCTATCCCTTCTGCCTCTAATGATTTCTAAGCATCATTTTTAGAGCTATATTATGGAACATTTAGGGTTAAAATACAAGAATAAGACTATCACTAGATAAATGCTAAATGTTCACCAGCTGTGGCTTGGCAACTACCATTTTCATGCAAATTATATTCAAACTATACAGAAAAAATATGTAAATTGGTTTCTACCCTGCTGCTCATTATATGTTTATATTGTGATAATTTGTGATGAAGATTTTTCAGTTCTAGTACAAATGCTTTGAAGAAATTAGTCGGTGTCCATGATCTTGTGAAAAGAATTAACTTGCATATTAAGATATATCCCCCTTAGCTGCTGCCTACAGCACTTACTTTCCTTCTGTTACACACCAACCACAGTAAGGATCCCGGGCTTGGATGCACAGGTTACAGGTTGAGTAACTAACACATTCTTGGACAGGCAAGCGAAATACCTAGTAAAGAAACCAATTAACATAAATAACAAAAATCACAGTAACTTTGAAGACAAAAACATGGAAAATGATGTTTGCATACAGATAATATTCTAACAATGTATTTTATACTTCTAGCCTATCTAAAATTTGTCCTGCATCCTCCTTGAATAATTCAACTGAAAAACTATCAGGAACAACAGTTCTTCAACGTACTAGTATAAGTGCCTGAAGATCATGTGTCTAATGGGATCTTCTGAGCCGTCCAATGAAAATCCAATGACGGATTTCTTTGGCCGATACCCACTTAATGACATATTTATATGATGTAGTACTGTACTGAAAACCACTGTAAGGTTGTTTTTTTTAAATGATTCTCACTCAATTTGATCTTCTGTGATAAACTGCTTTTAAACATGGGGTTCCATTTAGTTTTAATAACTCCTAGCCAGCAATAAACAGCCATCCTTTCTGCATTCCCTGCCCACTGAGCTGCAATATTAGCACAGTAAGTAACCAGATTTCTATCCTTTATAATGCATAATTGAGAGCTTGGGGGAGGGGGGAGCAAGCACTCTCTTGGAACTAAAAGTGCAGGATTATATGGCATGCCTTCATGTCAAGGCAATGATCACTTCCTTCGCAAAAGTGTCAGTACAGGTAGGATGCAGGACGCGTTTCACTGGATGCTCATACAACCACAGGGTGACTGAAATTAATAGTACTTCCCCAACCCTCTTCCTCCCAAGCCCTCAAAATATTGCCTGCAGTTTTAAAAACTGTCATTGTTCATGAGCAAGATCAATGGGCTTGGGATTATTCCTCTTTATCTCCTACTCCCAAGTACATTTATCCACAGTCTTCAAATTGTTTGCACATAGTCCCTAGAAACTTTGTCTTCAGTCCTCATTAAAAAAAAAAAAAGTTTAGAATACTTTGTAAACAATTTAAAATACATTAAAATATATTATTCAAAAAATAATTACAAAATAATCAGCGAGGAATATGAGGCTTAACATATTTGAACCTTATTTCAAATTTGTCTGGGAGGTGAGTGAAGCATTTTCCAAACACTCAGTCATGATCAGAAATGAATACTGTGGTCTATATACACCCCTATTAAAGACACTAGTCTGGAAGTCTAATAGGATTTATTTCAAGTGAATGTGTTTAGAATTAGAATGTCATATTTCATAACTGTTAGTCATATTAAGTTCCTGCAATATCTTTCTTCAAGCAATTTAAAATCAAAGAGATGGCTCTTAAGCCATATGACAAAAGCACTCATTTTAAAATTCCAGCACTTTTGAAGCAAGTAATTACAGAATATATAACTCAGTACAACGTATACCTAAATTTATTGATTAAAAAAAATTAATATAGACTTTTCCACTGTAGATTATACCAATCATGACTATTTCACAAACAAGCTTCTGTTGATTATCCTTAACAGTGTTTTGAGTTTGGGAGAAGTAGGAGTAGGGAGGAAATCTGAGCCATCAAGTCAGCAGCAATAATAACTAGTGTGAGCTGTTTTAATTTAGAAGACTACATTTGAGAGCAACCACATCTGCTTAAATAACATGATAAACAAAAACATAAGAGATTGTGGGAATTGATGGTGTGGGTATTTCCTGATTAGTACATGATATCTGGGAATAGGTTAAGAGAAGAATAAACTTCAAAAGAAAGTTGATCCAAGCTTCCCACAGCTCAATGATTTCCAGAAGACAACATTAACAGAAATGATACAGCAGGAGCTAGAAAGCATCTGACATTTTCTCTGTATAATACAAACTGGCTTCCTACCACTATTGTCCTTTTTCCTATATACAGTAGATGTATCAAACCTTCTGCTCATTCTTAATATTTTTTTTTGGTTTTTTGCACCAAATATTGCATCATTGCTGTTGCTACCTTTACTCTGTCCCAAGATGCATACCATCTTCTAATGGTACTTCCCAGCTACAGTTAGACAATAAATCACTACAATTATTGGCAACTGAGCCTTGTGGTTCAGTGGTATTCATAGTAGGTTTGAATTACGGTCAGACCAAATGTTATGCTAGAAACAGATGCTTTTGGAGGTGGGGGGAGTATATGTAAAACGAGAGCTATTAATTAATGTTAGTTGTGGAAACAAAATGTAGATAAGGATATTTTTTTTCTCTGTTTCTCTCTCTCTCAATATAACACCCATATTCTCTCTACTGTAAAGTTCTTAATCAATTTCCCCAAATATCTGACTTTATTGACTTTATTCAAGAATAATGAAAACCTCACCTTCATCTCTTGCCAATAAGGAAGTAAACATGCAATTGCTGTGATTTTCATTTAGCATCACAGCAATTTGTTGATGGCTCATTAAATAGTCCTGCAGATAGGCCCTATGATGCAGAAATACACATTGAACAAGAGTTTTATGATCTCATTATTGCTGCCAAAGATTTTGTACCTTATCTGTAGTCATCACATACAAGTTCTCATGGAAAGCATCAAGAACAAGATCCTTTTTGATAGGTTTGTTTTTTTCAATAAGAATGCTAGCGTACTCCTTTGCAGGATTTGACAAAGCTACCTGAAATGCAGATTAAGTATGTTATTTTAGCTGTTACCAGTTAAATTAAAATGATGATTGTTCGCTTAAAACTGGTTTAGATATACATTTTTATTAGTTAAAATAATCTCATTAAATAACTTTTAAGCAATGGAAAAGATGTTTTTATTTAAATGGTATTGGTAATTTAAAATATTTTTGTTTCCATAACAAATTACCAGTTTGATTTGCTCAATTTACCAGTTTGATTTGCCATTTTCTTCGATGTATTATGAAGCAAGTATGGTCCAAGATTTAAAATTGCAAGTCAATATATTATCAAACAACTTCCCAATAGAATTTATGGTCCTTTTTATTTATAGCATATATCTATTAAAGTGTTAGGACCAGACAACTTTATCAATGTGAGAGTTTATGGCATGTAATTCCAGAACCAGGATTTAGCCTTATGTGCACAATCTTAAATGAACCTGATTGAAATGTTGAGCTGTCATGATCCTCTCCCTTTAAAGGAAGAGAAATTAGTTTATCTGCCTGTAAAACCTACTGAATTAAAAAAAATCATAGATTTAAACAAACCATGGTTCATTAAACAAAGCTACTACTGAAATCTTCATGAACAGATAAAATTAAAATCCCTTCTCTGGTTCTTATATAAAGACATATCAAGACTAGTTGAAAATGAAACTAAACTTCAAGTCTCTCATTCAACTATAAGGGGGGAGGAGGGAAAGGAAGCTGCCGGAGGTCCCAAACCTTTATTCAAACACGTGTATATAATGCAATATTAGTATTTTGTTTGGTAAAAAGCAATCTGGTAACTGGGTATGAACTTTAGACTCATACTTCTTCCCTCTTCTCACATCACATTTCTTAATCACTACAAGACAAACTTTGTTTTCATAAGCAAACTGGGATAAACCAATTTTTTTGCTTGCCAACCTGAAATGGAAATAGATCATAAAGGCAAAAATGTCTCTGTTTCACCCCAGAAAATTGTTTGTTAAAATACACTGTCTGTAGATATCTGTTGTTGATTTTTGTCCATCACTGAACACTATGATCTACAAACACTTTCCCAATAACAGCTGTTGTAGTCTTTAAGATGCCAAAAGGCTGTTTTTGTTGCAGGAAACACAGCTACTAACATGGAAATCGTATTTAAGCATATTTCTAATTCTGGTTAATAGGCCAAATATAATTAACGTAAATTAGTTTGCTTGTATTGGCTATACCAGTGAACAGTTGTCAAGAAACTGAGGGGAGAAGAGAAAACGAGGACCTGTGATTTAGATCTTATTCACATATTGCATTAAGCCCTGATTTAACCAGGGTTTGTTGAATTAAGCCATGACTAGTTTGATATATGCACTCCACTAATCCATAAATGAAGAGACAACATCCAATCCCTGGTTAATACATGGCCTCCCTGTGACCTTTTTATGTCTTCCACAAAATTTCCTAGAGTGGCCAAAAGTTGTAATGCCCCCCCTTTTTTAATTTAAGGGAGGTTTTAAGGCTCAATGTCTAATTTAAGTTTTCTAGAGGCTTAAAGTACCCATTTCAACTGTCTAAACTTTCCCAATTCCTTCCCCAAAAAGCCAAGATGTGCCCTTTAGCCCAATATTTTTTTTAAAAAACTTCAAAAAATAACCAAATATTTTGGCTTGCCAGTTCTGGTAATGTCCACTCTGCAGTGACAAATAAGCATGTTAAGTATCTACCTGCCACACAAGCTTATGTTCAACTGAATTTAAATATTTACTAATAAATCATTGGGTCTTTGGGAAGATCACCTTCAAAGGTTGAGTTTGTATTGATTTTAGATTGAAGACTATATTTCAATTACAAGTGGTCCTCACTTAACAATCATTCGTTCAGTGACTGTTTGACATTACGACAGCACTAAACGAATGGTAGTTATGGCTGATACTCGAAGTTACAGCTGTTGCAATGCCCCCACAGTCATGTGATAAAAATTTGGGCACTTAGCAGCCCGCCCACATTTATGACTGCAGTGTGCACTTCAACTCCCCCTACCTGCCTATTTCCCCCCATTCCTGCCCTTTTGGCTATCCTGCACTCTGTTACTGCCTACCCCTGCTGGCCCCCACTGCTCCCAGCTAACCTTCACCATCTTCTTCCTCCCAAAGGTCAGCTAGGGGTGGTGGGGGTAGGGGGCAGCATCAGAGTGCAGGGTAGCCAAAAGGGCAGAGATGGGGGGAGATAGACAGAGGAGTTGAAGCGGAGGTGAGTGCGGCAGGGTAGAACCGTGAGGTCCTCACCTAACAATGGCGTGGTCCTCGCCTAACTACCATTGCTAAGTGATGTGGTCACATCATGTGGTCACCTAACAACCGCTTCACACAGTGATGGAAATTCCAGTCCCAATTAAGGTCATTAAGCAAGGATTCCCTATTCTCAAATTGTGATTTTATGATCTTTAAGCACAATCAATACTTTAAATTCCCTTGTGGGGAGAAGCTAATTTTTGGGCTATATGTCACTATCATAATTCTTTGAACAAAGTGTTGCCTTTACCAGATGTTATCTTCAAGCGCCTTTAGTTTCATTTATTTTATTTAAAGGTCGAGCAATCCTTGGGATAACCTTAATATCTATAGCTAATTTATGATGGCCAGAATTTTGGTATTCTATTTCACCCAATTTTTAGCATTAAGATATATTAGAAATTACCTTCAGAATTCTGCCATCTGATGTTCCAACGAATACTACAGTCTTCTCATTTTCCACAGCAAAGGTAACTGCTGTTAAATTTATCCCTTCCTTTTTGAGCACAGGTTCTGCAGAAATTCCTTCTTTGCTTCCCAAAGGATATGGTAAATGTTCAGAGCCACATGGAAAAGTTACACTTGAATTCTATGAAAGGAAACATGAATTAGGAATTATAAATTCAAACAAATGTTAACCATTAAGCCCTGAAACTAGGACTGATCTGAAAGTTTAAGTTTTTCAGCAAAATGGAAAAAGAGAAGTTCCATATTATGACATCTCAGTAAGTTCTGAATGTATCAAAAGATTACAAAGCCGCATATGTCCAACATTAGAATTTCATCTAGAAAAAATTATGCCGCCTGTGTGACACCTGTAATGTTCCTTCAGATGCTTTAATGCTGCTGATACACTGCTATCAATACAACCAGCCGTTTTTCCCCAATAAAAAAAACTGTTTACAGCAGCAACTACTGTACAGAAACCATGAAGGCATAAACCAGCCAACAGGAAGCACTTCGAAATTGGAATTATTTCAATGAAAGATATTCAAGCACATGGTTAATTTGGCTGAATTGAGCCGATTTGAAATACTTGAACCGACAGCATGAAAACATAAATGGGATGTTTTACAATTTGAAATATTTGCCTTTCATATAAAACAGAGATCCAAAAGTGCCCTAGAGAAAAGAGGGATTTATAAATATTATGCAGGAATATCTCAGGATGGTGAAAACCAAAAAAGGTACTTGGGTTTACTAATGAAATTTGAGTCTTGTAGTTTTAACTCATGGATTGGAAACATTAGATGAATGCTCATCTTCCACAGCAGTTTAAAGATAATTATTTCATCTCACCTGGTGTGATGTAGTTTTGCATGGGGCATTTTCAGTTCTGAATGGTTTGTAAAATACATTACGTTCATCCTTTGTGTAACATTTCTCCCTGTTTTCTTCCATTTTTTTATTGATATCACTCAAATTAAACATACACATGGCAGACACCAAGGAGTCTTTTTCCATTCTCCTGAAGAGGCCGATGAGCAGCTTGTCCTGTGAGGAGGCATCAAAAGCTTGCCCTGATGATACTATAGTATGCACTGGGTGTTCTCCATAGACAGAAGCATAGATTGCATTGCTTTGGTTAAAAGGGCCTGTGTCATCTTTACACTCCAAGTCCATTTCAAAATAGGAATGATAATGTTCATCTTCTTTGCAGAGTCGCCCAATTAGCGTCCTATTTATAGTGGCCTGCCTCTCATTCTGATTGAAAATAAAATAAACAAATTCATTGTCTTCAAAGATATACAGGAACTGTTGTGAGCTCGAGTAAGGATAAGCTGATTTAATAGCAGCAGGGTCTGCATACAATTCAAAAATCTCTCTCCCATCTCCATTAAAAAGCTGTCGCGTACTGATGATTACACCATTGTCGTTTCCCCCATTTCCCTTCCCCACAAACATCATCCGGCCTTTTTTCAAAGAGGTGATCAGCCCCACAGTGGTTACATTCTCATCATTACTTGCAACAAATGATTTTTCTCCACTGCCAGTCTCATAGTAAGTTCTGTTTGAAATATTCTCAAGCTCTCTTATGGAGCATATGCCTCTAAACAGACTCCCACAAACTACCATTCTTTTCTCTTGCACGTCCACCAACAGTAATTTGTTGTAATTGTCTGTCATTTGTTTGTCAGAGCACTGGCTTTCTTCAATAGGAGGTGTGCACTTTTTGTTATCCAGATGTGGCCCAGTAGATACATCATCTATTGAGGGCTTCAAGTCTTTTGTGAGTTGATGCAAGGCATTTACTGCTCCTAAATAGACTGTTCCCGTATCGTAGTTCACTGTTAGGTGACTGAGTTCTGTCTTACTCTGGTACATATCCCATTTCTTAGACCTTAATGCACAAGAAATGCAAGAGTAGCTCAGAATGCTTAATATCCAAATCCATATAGCCATTTCTCTGTGGTACCTGATGAGTAAAAACAATAAGAAAAAAATTATGAATTCCTAAAATAAAACAAAACATACTTTGGAAAAGGATTCATTTGTAAATGTGAAAAGTATCAAAGATCTAAACTGCAAGACATATCAACGTATTTATCAAAACCTTATCCAGGTTCCCAGTGGCCATTTCATGACATGTTCACAAGATTCACCACTTCTTAAATCTTAGTTCTACTTTTAGATTTTCTTACCCAGTTGGGCAAAGACCAAATCACTGTTACTTTGTATGAAAGCTGTACATAATCAAATAAAGCTGAGGCAAGAGCAAGATATTGTTTTCTCACCCCAGAGATTTTTAAAATTACTTCCAAGTAACAGGCGGCCCATTTTGATTAATTGATAACTTTGTAATATGCTTGTCTAATGCAAACCTGGTGGAGGTTTAGAGCTTCAGAACTATGGAAACAAATCCAACTTTTGAAAACAGTGTAAAATAACTCAGGAAAAATAAAGGCTGGGAGATAAAAGAGGTACTATTATTGGTATAGGCTGTTCATAGTGCCAAAACCATAGCTTAAAAGTCATCCTAATGCAGAACAGAATATGCTTTCATTAGGGAAAAAAACTCTGAGAAAATCTTGATAAAGTTACTTTTAGCTAAAATCTGAAATAAACAAAAATAAGTTTTCTGCTCACATTCTGTTCACATTCTTTTTAGGTACGTTCATAATACATACAGCATTGTAAACAAAACAAAACCCTAGGCCTATTTAGGGTGAAAGACTCCAAATATTGAAAAGGTAGGGTCGTCACAGAAAATGTCATCCAGGTTCCCATCTCTTCTAAGACATAGCAAAGTTAAGTCTGTGACCTAATGTCATCACTTTGGACATTTTCCCATTACTGACAGAAAACACTGAAGGGAAAATTAGCAGAACGTTATAGTGGGGAAAACCTTGACACAGAGCTTCCATCAGTGGCAATCATTCTTTGTTTTTAGCAAGTGCAGTTCTGCCATTTGCATTCTGCATTTCATTGTTGCTAATTCGCTTCCTGGTTCCATAAAGGAAAAACAAGCAACTCCTTGCATCTCTCTGAGGAGGCCCAACTGATTATTTGCAAAACCACTGAAAGAGAAGGAAGTGGGAAACACTGCCTATTAAGAGAAAATAAAACGATGAATTCTGGAATAATTGGCATTCAGTTAATCTAGTGACTAATCATGGAGGCCACTAGAGAAAACCATATCTTCTCACTCTTTAATTAAAATAGAACTTAATTTTTTTTTCTTGGACTATTAAAGTGCATCCATTAACGCTATTCCTTTTTAAAGGTGGTTTGAGAAATTCTGTCATGAAAGGTTAATGCTTTCATAGCTATTTAATTAATTCCTAAAAGAAATAAAATGAAGGTGGCATGCAATTTTTCATTTTTCAGCCTTTTTCTGAGCTAAGAATTAGGGCAAACTAGACAGGAGATACATATTTAAGCATGAATCTTCCCTGATCACACAAGTAGATTAAAAAAAAGCACCACTCAGTGAGAAGAACATGTTCCCGCAATTTCTCTCCCCAGTTGCTTTTCTCTCAATGCCTTTACCAACATGAGTGTCCAATATGACAAAGTAATGTAGAGGAAATGGCCACAGGACAAAGGCACATGAAAATGTGCACTGGACCATCTTGTATTTCTTTTGCTTCAATTTCTAAGGTTCACATATGCATAATTTGACATTCAAATTTTAGTCACAGCTAAGATATAAATATTGCTGAGAACAAATGACCCCTTTAACTAGAACATGAGCTTATGCAATCCATTATTTGCCTTCTCTGTAGCCCAGCCCATCTTGACTCCTATCATTTCTGCCAGACCAATCATCTGCTGAGTTACTTGAATATATATGATATGTTTGAATTTCACACATTCTAATAGTGAACCATGAATGTAAGGACACACATTGGAAGCAGTATACCTGGAAGTCATGTATATAGCTTAAAAGGCAACATCCTTGATTTTTCACTGATGTTCAGGTTTCCAGGAACATCCAGGAAATTTATTGAGTGAGCTCCTGGTTGACTATGACACTTGGCAGAATAACTGGTTTGGGATTTTGAGTCACACGTGTTATTTATACTGACATTAATTTTTAATTCATAATGAGTTTAACTAAATGAAACTTCTTAAAGCCACATTCTTGACTTGGAAGGGGGTAGTGAAACATTGCACATTAAAGCACTGTGATAAGTTTGGTTAAAACAAATGTAATTGAAAATTACACATTATCAACCCTGGTCTTCTTGCAGATCTCTTCATCTTTTACTGGTTATTCTAATTTTTGGAAGCCTGGTTATATTGTTCCAATGCCTTCTCAGCTCAATAATTACTTGAAACCCAGCTATTTTTTAAGTGAGCTCTAATTAACAATCAATAAGCTTGATTAGTGAACTCACTAGCAACAGCATACAATAAAGAACTTGCAGAAGCAACCAAAACTCCATCTGATATTAGGGAACACTAATTTAATAGATATGCAAGACTGGCACATAGCTAGCTGTGCTATATTAAAAACAGAAGAAAGAAAATGTTGAGCGATCAGTTATAATAGGGGAAGGAAGAGGCATAGACTCAGTGAGAAGCCATAGGAAATGGAAAGTTGTTCAACTTTGTTCATTAAATGTGTATAGCTGCTGGCTATTACATTCATTAACATTACAAAAAGTAAAACAGTTTTTTAAAAATAAAAGAATAAATAGACACCTTAATTCACCACTGGCTGCACATGATTTGGTTGACTCTTTTCTGCAAATAGAGCTATACTCTCTGATATGGCTTTATTAAAATCAGATAAAAGAAAGCATATTTTTTCTTCATCTGAACTTAGCTGAGAATTGTCCACCTTTTTTCAATTTATTTCTTTCAGACCAGATAAATATTATGGGCAACATAAAAGATAATGTGGTAAATCTTCAATCTGAGAATGACCAGAAGGGCAGACTCTTTGTTGAACAAAAGTTTGCTGATATCTACCCTCAATTACAGCCTTGGTCATACCCTGTAATCTTAAGGCTGTAAATGCTTGGTGAGTTTTACAACTGGTTATACTGATTTTTCTCTTTTACAGTGCAGTTTCAAGGTGCAGGTGACACAATGTAGAGAGTTCTGGAAAACTCAGGGAAAGCTGAAGTAAGAGACATACCTACTAGGTTCAGAAATTTGTTGGATCCTATATTGGATCCTGCACTTAATCTTTGCTGATAATAAATTTTCCTTGGAATACACAAATATGCTTTTCATTACATATCTCTCTTTAATTTTTATACTATTCCTGTGAGAATGTAGCAAGCTTTATTTTTTATTTACTTATCTAATTTATATGGCTAGAGAGCCAGTTTGGTGTAGTGGTTAAGGCAGTGCTTTCCAAACCCGCATAAATTACTCAAAATTGGGTAAAAGTGGTTTTTCTTTGGGTAACGATACACGAACCCATTACACAATCACAACAGGGACATTTAAATTGACTTAAATATTGTCACATGTACTAAAATATATTTGAAAATCTCCCAAAGTATTCCTATTAAGATAAAAATTGATGAAATGGCAATTTGTTGAAATGATGTAAAGATCATTCAGTAATAGTTTTTATAATACAGGTAGTCCTCAAGTTACGACCATTCATTCAGTGACCGTTAGGGTTTTGGGTAATGAAGGAAAAAGTTTGGGAAACACTAGGTTCTAGCATCAGGCTAGAAACCAGGAGACCATGAGTTCTAGTCCTGCCAGGCACCACTCCAGCTGGGTTCTTTGAGCCACTCACTTTCTCTCAGTCCTAGGAAGGAGGCAATGGCAACCCACTTCTGAAATCTTGTCAAGAAAACTGCAGGGACTTGTCCAGGCAGTCACCAAGAGTCAACACTGACTTGAAGGCACACATACATGAACACACAAAAAGTTCAGCTATCTGAAGAAACTCTGGGTGGCAAACAAAATCAAAACATTCCAGGAAACCACCCCCAAAATACCCCACAAAAAACCAAACTCAGGCTGAGTAAATTTCAGTAATCATAAATAAGATGTACCATGATAAGGTTGGGCCATCTGTATCTCAAGAGGAAGGTTGCTCTAGAGGGCAGGCACCATGAAAGAGAAACAAACCTTCTGGGAGCTACCAAGTGATATTGTTTTACTGAGGGTACCTGGAGCATGTGATACAGTGAGTTCAGATGGGAAGGGTAGAAACTATCAGGGAAATTTGGATAAATGTGATCAATATAGAGTCAAAAGTGGCCCAAAACCAGAGGTGAGTTCTTATTAAAATGCTCTTTCAGTGCTTTCCAAGGTTATACAAAGTTTTATCTTATTATTCCTGTTGAATTTGATTTAGTAAGCATTAAATAAGTTTACTTGGTGTTTTATAATCCTTGCATGTATTTTACTGTTGCTAATATCCTAATTTGTGTTATTTTCAAGATTCATTCATGAAAAATGTTATTTCAGTTTCTCCAATTGCTGGTGGATTTGTGTATACGGACGTGCATGCACGCACACACGCTACATTTAGCTGTATTCCTTGCCTACCTGCTGCAAATTTTAAATACATTTTTTATGATTGATTTCATATATAAGCTATCTGTGGCTTTTCTGGTTCAGTTACTTAGCTCACTGGAGTGATCTTTCTCTTGAGGTGCAAGAAAAACTGATGCTTAAATTTTTCATGTACCTCAAGAGGAAGATAATTCCGCAACCCTGAAACAATATACAAAGTCCTCCTTCTAGCCCCTGCAATCCTCATTTCAGGTGAAAGAAGTTTATTGTAGCTGCTGCCTTTACTGCGAGAGGTAATTCAGAAAGCTTTTCAATTTTCTGTTTCACAATTCATGTAAATATTGCCCAGATAAAGTATTGCCTCCTCTATTACATGTAAGAACAATTCATCTGCCTAGATGAGCTCTGAATTCTCAACCACTATACCACAGTTACGCTTTGCAAATTATTCAATGCCTACCCAGTAAATTCTAAGACATAAAA